GAGCGAGAATACATAAATCAAACGGGTTTCCTCTAATGACCATGTAAACGGAAGGCGAGGTTCGAACGAGGAAAGGCTTTGCGGTGGAGAGGAAGCGTTTGGTCCCCTCTTGGTTAAACAAACACCAACTAGAAGGGATCCTGACGGACATTTTTCTGCATCGGACAACCATCACGAAGAAAATAGGGAATCTATTCTTTGACTTGCTGTTTCCCTTGCCTGTTCAAGAAAATTGCGAACTTTTCCTTTTGAACGAGAATTATTTCTGCAACGTAAGAAGAATTTCTGGGTGCTTAAATATGACCCCTTGATTTAAATATCAACTAAGAGATTTATTTAATAATCCCTATCTCAATTTTACGCCAATAACATGACCCAGTTAAGAACTTCCATGGAAAACAGAGGAAGGTTCTGATCCTCATGAAACTTGTTCTGAACTAATTCAAGTCCTGGTGGAAGCACAATGTCAAGATCTATAAGCTTCAAATATAGCACTCAGTTCATCGTAGAATGCTTATTTGCTGTAGAGGATTCTCGATATTTACATGACAAGCAAAAGTACCATAGAATTAGAATCTGTCCTGAATACTTGATTTAGATTACTGGAAAAAAGAAGCAGATTCCTAGCCACTTGAGTTGGAATGCAACTCATGTGATGAAGCATTTACAACAGCACTGCTCGTGTAGTGATCGCCATTGATGCTGCTGCTGCAGCTCAAGGTCCTCAAAAGCCGCCATAGCCCCCAATTCCTCAGACACTTCTCATTGGCGTTATCCGTCGGTTGGAACATCGAGGCCCGGCTCTTCTGGCGGCTCTGCCTCATCCTCATGTCGCTCAACTCCATCTCCATCGGGAATCTGGCCGACCTGAACATGAGGAAATACCACTTGCCCTTTGCTCCCAACTTCCTCGCCGACCCATCTATGCTCCCGAACTTCTCCACCGGCAGGTTCTTGGAGTCGGTCACTTCCTGCGGCTTCGACCGCTTCTTCTTGTCCGCTCTCAGCCTGTGGTACGAATACGAAGTTCTGGACTTCCTGAATAGGCGCAGCTTCCAGCGAAAGAACCACCTTTTCTTCGACTTTGTGGAACGCTTTCTGATAAGATCATCCATGTTGTTCGCTATGGGCAGCGGCTCTCCATAAGGGATGAGCTTGGCACAGAAGATCGTGTGCTCCGAATGGTGCCTGGAGCAAATGCTTAAGTCCTCACTGGAGTAGAACTCAAACAAGTCTTCTTGATCTTGATGAGGACCGGTCGATGCACCTCGGGCTTGTTCTGGGTCTGCTGCTACTTTGGTGAAGCTGTCCTTTCCCCACTCAGCTGAATCGCTGTAGAGTGGGAGGTCACAAAAAGAGAGCGTCTCTGCTTCATCTTCTTCTTGATTTGGGTCTTGCAAAAGACCCACAATGCTTTCATGCTCTGGCTCTTGTCTGGACTCATCATGAGAAACAACCATCACGAGCAAGATCAGCTAGAAGAAGAAGAAGAAGAAAATGCTACCAACGAAGATGGAGAGAGATGATGAGGGGTGATCTGTTTTCTTTTGCTTTAACAAGGAAGTTTCTACTGTACACTTTCTAATTACGCTCCCATTTGGACTTATATAAACACTTTGCGCGTGACCAGGAGCGTGTTGATATGAGAGAGAGAGAGGGAGAGGGTAGCTTGGAATTGGTTGATGAGGAGGGCTTCTAGATGAGGGGATAAAGATTTGTATTTTCAATTTCTGGCCGAAGGGGAATAAAGAGGAATAATACAAGAGAGAAAGAGACGAGGACAAAGAGTATTTACTGATTTTTAATCTGATGTTGGGTTTGTCGAGGGTCTTCTGATGGGTGAATGATTCCAGAAATGTGGGTTTACTGGGTTATGTGTATGGAAGGGTATATTGAGATGGATTGGATAAGGGAGGTCCACCACCAAAGTGTAAAGGCACAAGTCATCTGTCAAGAATAAAGAACCGAAATATTGGCAACTAAAGGATTGTTCAAGAACGCTACAAACTTAGAAAAGTGAAAATTCTGTCTTCTTTTGTTAAATGCGTTTCAGTAAACTTTTTCATTCCACATTTTTGCAAAAATTTGTGCCTGTAAAATGCTTTGAAGAGAAACAAGAAGTAAAAAAGCTGCTTCTTGTTTTACACAATTTGAGAATCGCTTTTTTTCTTCTTTTTCTTTTTTTCTTTTCTTATTTTTGTGTTGTTCTTCCTCTGGGCCGGCTGGCTGCCTGGCCACGAGCCCAGGGCCGGCGAGGGCGTCACGGCCCTCGCCTCCGCCGCCTCGGAGCCGTGGCCGATCGCCGGTCGCCGCGATCGGCCATGGCCAAAGAAGAAAATGGTAAAAGAAAAAAAAAATTTAACAATTCAAAATATTATTAAAATATTATTTGGGAACGAAATTTTGTGTAGTTACCAAACGCATTTTGTTCTTTTCTACTCTAGGAATAGAAATTTTGGACAGCTTTATCAAACGCTTTCAAATACTCAAATTGTTTCAAGCGCGAGAATAATAAAAAATCATTTCGTTCTCGAGGAAATAGTTCCGGGCAGACGTAATGATATTTATGCGCACCCTATCTAGAGAGGCGTAAAGGATTACTCCATCGGTCAAGGATAAAGAATTGTTTGATTCACCATTAACGATGTTGGATAAAGAATTGGATAGTTATTCCCTCAAACAAAGAAATTCTCATATATTCATCAACTCCACATTACACTAGAGAACTCTCCTCTATAAATAGAGGAACTATGACATGGAAATAGATAAGGGAAAATGACACAAACAGTCCCTGAACTTTGACTCAATGTACAATTTGATTCCTGAACTTTTAATTTGTTCAATGTAGTCCCTGAACTTTAACTAAATGTTCAATATGTTCTATAAACTTTCAATTTATTCAATTTGATCCCTGAACTTTTAGTATATATTCAATATAGTCCCTGAACTTTATAAAAATGTTCAATGTAGTCCTTTCATTAATTCAAGTTCAGGGACTATATTATACATTTTCATATAATTCAGGGACTAAATTGAACATGTACCAAAAGTTCATGGATCATATTGAACAAATTAAAAGTTCAGAGACCACATTGAACATTAGGCTAAAGTTCAGGGACTACATTGAACAAATTAAAAGTTCAGGAATCAAATTAAAGACATTAAGCCAAATTTTAAGGACTATTTGTGTCATTATCCCAATAGACAAATATTAAAGACATGGTAACCCAAACATTAAAGACATAAGACCTAGAAAATAGGAACTAGGGCGACTCTCACCTAGTTTGGCCACAGGTGAGCCATCACCTAGATCTAGGCTAGGGCTGCAACGTTTAGGCGAGGGTGTTGCAGACTTCATCAGCCAACAGGCGAGGGCGTCGGCCCTTGCTTGGATCTAGGCGAGGGCCCGACACCCTTAGGGGTGAGCGGTTCCAAGTTCCGGGTAGTTTCCGCCTGGAACCTACCCTCGGGTACAGGTTCCTCAAAATGAGGAACCTGGAACCTACCCGTCGGAACGTGGAACCTGGAACCTATCCTGTCACAGGTTCCAGGGTCGGTTCCAGGTTCCAATAGGTTCTTTTTTTTTTAATTTCGTTTTGAATTAAACAAAACGAAAATAAACGCAATAGTTGATCATCTGAATGATACATACACAATGCCCCGATGTGATATTCAGGGGATATAATGCCAAGTTTACAATGCCTGGATAGAACTAAACTATAATTGCCCAATACCAATTGAAGGGGAAAGATAGGGTAACTACCTTACTGTCGGAAAATCCTCCAACACCAGTATCAGCATTCCCAAGTCCATTATCTCTGGCAACTCTTAAAGAATCAGTTGGTGAGTCACGGACAGTATCAGAGCTTGAACTCGTTTCGATCTCCCCCGCACTGGGCCTTCTCAATAGAAAAATTTTAAGTAAGAAATCATGAAGATGGTGAACCACTTAACTACAAGTAATAGCATGAGCTACCTGGCAAAAAAGCTGTGACTACTTCCTGTCTCAAAATACAAAATCGAGATCCAGGTCCAGTATAGTTTGCAAAACGAGGAGTTACTCTCATCAAGTCAAGAAGATAGTGCCTAAATCAAAACAAAAGAAGATATTTGCATAAACACGCTTGATGGCAAAAAAAGGAAAACTACAAATCCAGCAAAAACATGGACAAAAATGGTTATAAAATTCAGAAAAACATACAGGATTACAAAAATCTAGTGTGACAAAAGAAAAGTAAGCTAGCAATGTACAGCATTAACATTTATGACTAGTTAGTATAACAAATAAGCAAAAACAGTTCTTGGACCTAAAGATAAGTTATAGTAATCTTCTCAGATAGTTCACGGATGTGTCATCCTTCCATATAGGCTTGAGATGAAGGTAATGGACGTTGGATGAGCAGAGAGAGAGAAAGAGAGACCCATCCGTGCAACAGTGCTCTAATGCTTGGAGATATAGAGAAAAGGGTAAGTAAATGTATATCAGACACTTCCTTACTTACTATGCTCATACCACACTCCTAACTTCCATGTATCTCTTGCCTCAATAATATGATCATATTTGACGTTTTGTTGTCTTCTACACATATAACAATTCCCAAGCCAATGCAAACCCATAGAAAGCTCCAAAGGAGTTGACTTGCTATGGGATTTCAATCTCAACACATTACAGTAAATATTTATAGTTAGAGGTTCAGAGGCCACCAAAACACATTTATACAACTTTACGCCAAGAGCAGCATTATGGAGTCAATACAAGAGAAAGAGACGCACAGTGTTGATAGAAACCCAAAGAATTATACTGAGACAAACATACTCTTTTAGCAAAAGCCACTGAAGTAGTTGGAATTGCATATATTAACGATATAAATACAGAGTGTCAATTATATGCAGCATCAATCAGTGATCAGATAAACCATTGTCATCAAACCTTAGGAAAGCTCACAGGCAACAAAGAGTAAGAAAGACCACTCAAAATTATTATACCTGAACCAGCTAGAATAAAAAGACAAGAGCATCATTGTTGATTTAGATAGAGGAGAGAATGTTATACATGTGCAATCACCTTTAGCACTGGGAAATTCTTTCCATCTTTGATATAGTAGTCCCTTATCGATACCATATTTGTGCCGTTATAATCTTGACGAGTCACATACCTCCTATTTGAAAGCTACACCAACATCAAATGATGATTTAAAAGTTGTTGATGTGGCTTATCTAATCACAGAATGCAGAATAATCAGTCAGCCACAAGAGGAATATAATGAAAATGTCACTAGTCAGTACCAATTGTTTTACCGGCAACGCAAGTAGAGCCTTTAGAGGTTCTAGAGCTAAGTCCCAATTGCCAATCAAGGAAAACCATGAAAAATCCAAGGAGAGACATTACCCACCAAGTGAGAATCTAAAATGTTAGATTTACAACTGCCTTTTGCACTTATCTATTACTGCCAAGTGAGAATCTACAACATTGGATTTAGTACTGCCGATTGCACTTTGTCTTCTCCTCACCAATCTTATTCAGGTGTTTCTTGCAGCCACAAGGCTTTTAGAGTAAGGATTCCTCTTTCATGCTCCCTAAGTTAGCCTCAGCAAACTAGACAGCTACAATTCAAATTTGCCTATAATCCCATTTTCTTCAGCTAACAAAGAGACTGCATCTGATAAAGCTTTTGCAGAACTATCATCTTCGCCTTTTTGACTATCCAGTACAAGAGATGCTTGTGCGTGCGCAATCCGAACCTCAAAGAAATACATATTGGCACCTCTTCGCAAATCCAGAGAGCCATGGCTTTCGAACACAATTTATGCAGTCTCGCCATGAATTAGCAGACAAAAACTAAGTGACGACCAAGAAGTTCACTTTCTCTACAATGCAATAGGGTTTCACTTTCAACCTCACAAATGACGCGTCCTCCACTTTCGCCGAGCTCCATCTTCACTTCCCTCGCCAGTGCTTCCACGGCGACCTCGCCGGCCTCTCCTCGGACGTCAGGTTGGCCGCCGTTGGCCCTATCCTCGCCCGCAGCGTCGGAGAGGAGGAACGACTCCAGGACGCTGCGCACCAACTTCTTGCTGTCCATGTCACTGGCAATCTCGCGCGGCGCATTCCAGCGAGCGAGAAGGACGGCCGGAATTGCACCTCCGAGGAGAGACGGTGGGAGCCCGCCGGAACCCTAGCGGAGCGCGAGAAATGGAGAAATGCTCGCGGGTGGAAGTGAAACTGAAGGGAAAGAAAGGACCAAAAAATAATTGTAACCTGTTTTAAGGATCCCGGTTCCGGTTCCTAAAAATGGGGAACCGGGAACTGGGAACCGGATCCTCTCTTCATGGAACCGGGAACCGAACCGGACCCGCCGGTTCGGTTCTGCAGTTCTCGGTTCTACCCGGGAACCGCGCTCACCCCTAGACACCCTAGCCTGTGGCCGGCAAGGGCGCGGAGGCTCTTGCCGGCCAGAAGTGTAAAAAAACAAACAAACAAAAGAAAATGAAAAAATTAAAAACTAACTTCAAAAAATATTATTAAAAATATCAACGTCAGCGCTGACCGTGCCACGTAAAACGGCCGACTTCCACGTCATCAATTTCAAGCTAAAATTGGCCAGATGAACTCAATTGGCAAAATATGAAAAGATTTAGGACTCCATTGGCAAAATTAAAGGGTTTAGGACTGAATTGACAGAAATGCAATATCTTCAAGACTTTTTGGACAATTTTTCCCTTCATAAGCAAACAAGAAGTTACTGTTCTAACACGATGGCCCTGAGAGTAAGACATCAACAAAGCCTAGCCACGTTAAAGAGATCACCCGAAAATAACGCCACAAATTTTTTGCTTAATTAACTCTAAGTTAGTTTAGTCAATGGGGACCATCAAAGAATAGCCTTGAAATTTCTTTGAAATTTAGATGCCAAAACGAAGATTAGTTGCACTTAAAAAGATCAATGGCGATGAGCGGAGGCTGCGGAAGAAATTATCACACATGCCATGTATATAAATTACATTAATCCAGAGGTTAATCTAGTAGGAAACCACAAATGCAACTGTTGGGCTCCTCACTTGATGAAGACCATCATCCCACACCAGAGATGCCGAAATCATATCCGCGTCCAAGATCGCCTCTACCGTCACCACAAAACTATGCTTCTGTCGGACGGACTCAAACGTGAGGGTTTGTGATTCGACACGAACGTCGAGTAGTCCTCGAGGAGCAGTCACGGTGGCCTTGTAAGTGGAATTCGCGTTTCCCACATTAGTGACAGTCTTGTGGAAAACTCTTGTGATGTTGGAGCCTCTGGTCTGAGCCGATAGCGCGAATGTCGGTAAATTCAATTCCCACACAGTCGCATTTTTTACGTCTGAGCAGGTGCTTTGATCGCTGGTGATGAGTCTCAGGTTGCCGGTGCTGTAACCTTGTCCGCACAAGAATCGCACATAATCTTCCTCCTTGGCATCGTACACTAAACCTGGCTGCGCTGCTTTCAAAGGGTTTATGTGACCAGCTCCATACGCGAATTCCGCATCAGTATTCTTGAGAGGACTCATTGGAGAAGCTGCGAAAAAGCCAGAAGGTGTACTGAGAGAATCACCCATGCGAAACTCATAGCTGGTTAAAATATATTGATTGTGTATTTCACGACCCATTATAGATCTTGCAATTAAATTTCAACGTTGTCCATGCGTTGCTAGTGATTTGAGCAACAAAATGCGACTAAGGTTCTTTGCATGAAACGTTGTGACATGCAAATTTACGAGATCATCTGTGGTTTATGTAAACTCTTCGTAGTTGCAACTTTAATGTACTTTCAGGCACTACCTGTTGTCATCAGGGCCGACTTTACAGCTGCCGGAGACCACGTCGGATGTATCGTTTTGACGTACGCAGCCACACCAGTGGCATGGGGGCAAGCCATGGACGTGCCAGAAATTATATCGTACGAAACATGCCTCGGGTCGCCTGGTAATCAGATCACGATCGAAGCCGGTGACCACGCTGCTCGAATGTCCACGCCTTGGGCAGCGAGATCAGGCTGCAGACAACATATTTGAATATCGATACTGGCTATTATGATTAAATAGATGAAATACCTACTCAATTCGTAGTTGATGAAACAAGTCACTTCCGCAGTCCGATCATACCTTGAGAATGTCACCGGTGATTGGGCTCGGGCCTCTCGACGAAAACGAAACGACCGCCGGAGCTAACAAATCTCGGGTCTCTGTGCTCTTAAATATGGTTGCTGTAGAATTTCTAGTAGAAAAAGAAAAATAGTTCCGACACTATTCAATCTCTAGTAAAGTGTCTGACCACAAATTATTGGTTCACATTTTTTATGTTAAAATTGGCTGAGATTGCAAAACGCTTTACCTAGTTGAGTTCAGGTTGTCCGAAACTTCACTTCCATCGGCTGTGTTCAAGAAGGAGGCGGGCACTGGGAAGGTAAACGCCACGTCCGTGGCCCCCAAGCCTTGCATTATTGACCCGGCGGCTCCCTCCGATAGCTCGGCATCGGCGGGACTGATGGAATCACACTAGACAATCTTACCTTTCACCAAAGAGCTGTTCAGAGAATTCTTAATGCAGAACCTACATGGTATACATACTATGTTAATTAATTTCATGCATAGTGATAATTCAATTTCTCTCTTTAACACACATACCTTGATTTAAATCTTTGTGCAATATCTGGGGCATCTCCTCCGTATATCATGGGGTACATTGTGTTGTTGAGGCTGAAAGTGTTGATTGAGACTCCCTATACATAAGAATCGCATTATAAGTAAGCACGAACTATATACTACCATTTAGTAGTGTAAATATACTAGGAGAAATGTATGAATTTAGATATGCATTAGGAAGTGAAAGTGAAAATTAGGCATTCGTAGGGGCTTTTTACCTCGTAAGACTTTCCGTTTCCTGACAGAACTTTATTGACAAACTTTCAATCTATTGTGCTAGCCGCAACCGAGAGAAACCAGGGGGAAAAGTTTGTGGCCGACCCCAGATTAGGGCCAGAGTTCCCGGCCGACGCCGATGTGAGTATGCCGTGCTTCATCGCATGGAAAGATCCGATGGCGATTGCTTCCATAAAGTAATCACAGGCGACAAATGGGCCAATGGAGATGGAAATGATGTCAACGTCATCTGCAATGGCGTCATCGAACGCAGCAAGCATGTCCGCGTCGGAGCAGCCGTAAGACCAGCGCACTTTGTACATGGCAATGCGGGCAAAAGGGACGCCTCCCCGGGCCGTGCCGGAGCCAAGGCCAAACAGGCTTGCCCCGCTAACCAAGCCACCGGCCGCTATTGACGACATGTGAGATCCGTGACCCTCGGTGTCCCTAGGAGAAGCTAAATCCCCCGGTAGATGTGTGGTTTTTTTCCGGTAGTATCGGGCTCCAATGATTTTACTACAAAACAATCAACCCAGGAAAGAGAAATTAGCTTCTATCAAGTATAGAATGTGCATTATATATCGTTAAAGCATGTGTCACTAATCAGAGTGCACACAGTTTTAAATTCAATTCATATGGATTTCCATCTTAAATTTTCCACGCCAGCAATAAAACTGCTGCACAAACTACTACTTCGAGTACGTGAACAGACACAATAGTAAGGCGATGAATAGTGCAGTACTTATTGCAAGTGAAGTTTGAGGTTTGGCAAGTGCCCTTCCATTTGGTTGGAGGCGGGCCAAACCCTTCGTCGCTAAAGCTGTCACTTTCAGGCCAAATGCCCGTATCAAGCATTCCGATAAGGAGGTCACTCTCCGTCGGTCGTCTTTGCACGTTGTGAGAGAAGCCCAGGAAGTCCCATGACCTCGTGGTGTGAAGTTGGTGCCTCTCACTTGGGAACACCGTCACTACTCCTTCCATTCCTGATGAGAATTATACATGGGTTGACGAAGTATTACCCCATATTAAACCAGATCATGCATGGAGTGTTATTCTCAATGGAACTTAGGTATTATATTGTACCTGCTATTTTCTCCGCTTCACCTTCAGTGAGTCCAGCAGCGAATCCATGGAAGCTCCTCGAATAGCTGTGGACCAAAGACTCCGACGTGCGACTGCAGAAGAAAATGGTCGCATGACGGTTTGAAACTTTTTATGATCGGTTCAAAGATGATCCATGTCTAGCTATAAGAGCCTTTTGAATCCTACATGTTTCACACTAAAGCCTATGCAGAGCTCGAATTGAAATCATAGAAAAGGCTTTGAGTAAACTCGTTTTGTGTTAGAGAATTATGTTATGTAATCGGTGATTAGCAGGCGTGTGGATTACATCTGAATTATCTAAGTTGTTGGTGTCATTAACATAAGTTGTTGGCTATTTCCCATGTAAAATATGTTAGGCTTCGTCACACAAACACAACGAAATAGAGAGTAAAGGCGAGGAAGAGAAATCGAGACACAAGGTTTTATCCCAGTTCATCCTTAAACTAGGGCCACGTCCAACAGAAGATTCCACTACATTTAGCTCATTCCACCTTTCTCTTACATCCCTCAATTACAAGAGAAAGAAATTATATATACACAGTAACTATTCATGGGCCTAAACACAAATTACCAATAAAATACATGTCAAAATTATACAAGCAATGTCACGGGGGCGCTGCCCCCTATGATCCTCGCTAGGGTGGGGCGGCCCCCCCGGACCCCTACTCGCTCACAGGGGAGAGGAATCCCATGCTTCCTATTGATGGAGAGTATGAACCGCACCCAATAAAATAGACATATCTTTTACTCGTTCAATTAATTTGAAGTTTATCTAATCTAACACTACAAAAAAACATGTTTTTTGCGACGAAAAAATCGCAAAAATCCGTCGCAAATCATTTTTGCGACGGATTTAGCGACGGAAATTTATCTAATCATTTTCGCTACTAGGTCGTCGCAAATTTTTGCGACGGAAAATTTCAATTTTCGTCGCAAATTTGCGACGAAAAAAAAATTCGTCGCAAAAATCGTCGCAAATTAGCCACGAACACTATCCGTCACAAAGTTCGTCGCAAATATTTCGTCGCAAAAATCGTCGCAAATTAGCCACGAACACTATCCGTAGCAAAGTTCGTCGCAAATATTTCGTCGCAAAATTCGTCGCAAAAAGCGTCGCAAATTAGCCACGAACACTATCCGTCGCAAAGTTCGTCGCAAATATTTCGTCACAAAATTCGTCGCAAAATTCGTTGCAAATTAGCCACGAACACTATCCGTCACAAAGTTCGTCGCAAATATTTCGTGGCAAAATCCGTCGCAAAAATCGTCACAAAAG